GAAACACAAGGTATTTCATCCTATAATTGAGAGAGTCCTGCAACATGTTAAGAATACCCTGTTCTTATTTGTGACTTTCATATGTGTATTTCCCAAACTCTGGTTGTTATGACAAAATTATGTCATCCTATACAGTAATTGAGAGAGTCCTGTAACATGTTAAGAATACCCCAGTCTCAATTTTTGACTTTAATGGGTGTATTCCCCAAATCTCTGGCTGGTAAAAAAATTATGTCATCCAATAATTAAGAGTCCTGTAGCATGTTAAGAACCCCCCTTTCTAATTTTGTGACTTTCATGCATGTACTGTACTTCCCAATGTCTGGTTGGTAACAACATTATGTCATCCTATAATTGAGAGACTCCTGTAAAATATTAAGAATACCCTGTTCTTATTTTGTGACTTTCATATGCGTATTTCCCAATCTCTGGTTGGTACAGGTGAACTTTGATAACTTGAACAGCCCTAATGTCAAATATACCCCCCTAATTCAATTTTTTTTTTGTCCCCATCTGAATTCCCTGTAGTCATATTAATGACCACAACACCCTTCACTTTCCGCACAACCCTTTTAAGCTAATGTATTTCCGCTACGCTTGGCTGCGCCTGGTGCGCGAGCAATTATATTTCACAATCCCGTTGTTGACGGAATACTTTCCCAACTGCGCTCACGCTTCCTTCCTTTAAATAAACAAAGCGTGACGTCCCCAATCCAAATTGGTTTATATGCATGTTCTTTGACCTTGGCCGGCCAAAGCTATATATACAGGTGCATTTTATGTTGCGTTAAGTTTACCGCACCAGACTCTGACCAAACGCCAAATCCACGCCGCTTTGCTTGTAGCATTGTATTGTATTGACTGTGTGTGAAGATATAATAAATAATCATTTTAAATACTCTCACGGAGTAACTTTTGTGTTTCCTTCAAAAGTTGTGGAAAACAATTTAAATCTCCAATCCCCTTTTCCACTAATTATAGAAAGTAAGTTATCAACAACTGATCATTGTTGACCACTAACTTTTAAATTATAGTTTTTGGATAACATCCCTCAGAAACAATAGAGTAAAAATCTCCCTAAGTCAAAAGCTTTTCCTTTCAAACCTCTGTAAGTCAAATTTTCTGTGGCCTGTTGCCCATTATTTTCTTGAAAAAAGAAAGAAAAAGCAATAAAAACAGAAATGTATGTGTTTTAAAGGAAGTGAAAGTCTTAATTGGGAAAATGAACCCCTTGCCTCCAAGTTCAGCTGCCTTTCAACTCATTCAAGAAGCCCTTTGGTCTCCAGAATATCACCATCTATATTTTTCCAAGTTTTCCAGAAAAAAGGGCTATGTATTGCAGTTCCTACTTATGAAATTCCAAACCCCCCTGAGTCAAAACCTCCCTATGTTGATTTTTTTGCATGTCCCTTGAAATTTGACTTTGAGAGGTTTGAGTGTAACAACATTATGTCATCCTATAATCGAGAGAGTCCTGTAACATGTTGAGAATACCCCAGTCTCAATTTGTGGCTTTCATATGTGTATTTCCCAATCTCTGGTTGGTAACAACAGAGTACACTAGACTGAAACATTTTGCCTTCCTGACTGTCCAAGTTTTCTTTTCTGTTCTATGCATGGTCATGAACCTGTCTTGTGTATCTGTGAATCCTTGAAGGAGTGTCCAAACACTTTTGCAAGGCTCATTGCTACTGGTTTGGAATACAGTACTGTACTCTGTTGTTGGACATACTGGGATTATATTAAATTTCACTCTTACATACAATGAAATCTCATTACAAAAAACTCTTGGGGACTCCAGAAAAAGTTGGTCATTACAAATCATTTGTTATAACAAGATTTTTTAATATTTTTGACTGATCAAAAGATTTTATGAAAATTAAACCTGCATAAATTTAACATATTTTTGTAACCTTTTGAGCTGTTTTTGGCATTTAAAAAACTGCTATCTTTAAAAAGAAGTTTAAATGTTGACCAAAAACATTTATTCTGAATAACTGGTCAATACCAGGACTTTCTGTTGATTAAGTTTTTCTAAGCAATATATAAGGTTGGATGTTGCAAAAAAAAGCTTGAAATTTCTAAGCATCAGCATAGGGTTTCTCAACCATACAAACCCTTTTTGACATGAGTTTTGTTGGGTTCAGTATTTTTTAAACCCCCCCTCCGTCATCTTTCCTAACCCAGGAAAAAATTGGGAAAGAAGAATTGTTCAGGTGGATTTAGAATAATTTTTATCTTTGATTCCACCTCATGTCCCAATAAGAAACAGTCACAGTCCCATTTTGAATGGGAAATTTGAGAATAACTGCATTCATTGGGGATTTTTCTTCAAGAAATCACATGTTCCCTGAAAAGTTTTTTTTATAATGGGATTTGTGAGTTTGTTGTAACAATATTTTTATAACATTTACCCCATAGGATTTCTGCTGGGACTTGAAAAAAATTTTATTATACTGAACATTTTGTTGTGATGGTATTTGTAGTAACAAGATTTTTAGTGTGTGACTCATGCTCAAAACTTTCTCAATTTCTCAAGATGAAATGTCAAGAAGATGGGAGACTGCTTTTCTGTTTTTAAATTTTGAAAATTGATCAAGTTTTAGTTCAGAACTTGTTAAAATTTGCACATTTTTTTGTGCAGAGAAAAGGTTTCATTGAAGAATTTTTGAATGTGAGTCATTTTTTTTTCTTGAAGATTCAGTTGTGCAGAAATTTCCTTGTTTGATGAGTCTTTCATTGTGATGAGGAGAAAACTGATTGTTATTTATCAATCATGCAGAAGTATTCCATAAAATGTTTGAATCCTGTTTGAAAATCTTTTTTTTTATGATTAAATGCCAAGAAGGAGTAAACCAGTATTCAAAATGTAATTTTTTTTACAGTTTCCTGGACGTGAGGGTGAAGTTGAGTCAGCAGAGGAACGTCACTGGTGGTCATGTAGAAGGAATGCCGCGGCCGGGCCAGCTGGAGGTCTACCATGGCCCAATGTACCAGCACCTGAGTTTTGCTCAAGTTTTGGGAGAAGTTGCCAACTTTTTGAAGTCTTATCCCAGTGAAACTGTGCTCATGAAACTCAATGAGGAGCTGTACACTAAAGAAGGTGTGAATTTGCATGGGATTTTTTGGCCCAAATAAAAATGCTGAAATTTCAACAAGTTTTCAAGAGAAATCTGAAGATTTTTCAAAAATCAAGTAAAAAAAAAGAGGAGGAAAACATAGTTTAGTACTGTATGAACTTGTCTTTATAAATTGAGAAATACAGAAAGTTATGAGCCAGAGTTGTCAGGACTGCAGGATTTAAATTTCAAAATAATATTTGTTCAAAATCATTTTTTTCTGATGAAAAATACACATTTTTTGGTTCATTGTGGTTTTTTTGGTGACTGAATGGAACCAATTGAATCATTTACAATACAAACTCAATCCCCAAAGTTTTGAACTGAGACTTCAGAATTTTTCAAAAATCAAGAGGAAAAATTAAAGCATATACACTTTAAGAAATTCAAAAAGTTATGAGCCAGAGTGGCCAGGATTACTGTATTTGAATGTCATGATAGAAAATATTAAATTTACAATTTTCTTTGGCAAAATACACATTTATGAATTAATGTAGGTTTCTTTGGTGACTGGATGAATGGAACCAATTATGGTGAGACTCCAAGATGCAGACATAATTGGTGCATCAAGTGTGTCCCTAAGTCAAAATGTCCCTAACTTGAGTCTTGTTTTCCCATAGACTTACATTATATAATATTTAATGGGTGTTTCATGGAAGACATATTCATCAGAATTCCATGGAGAAAATTGTCTGATAGTAGAAATTGGATCAGTGAAAATCTTTAAACTCAATAAGAACATTTGGAGCATGGAATATTTTACTTCTGGTCAGGAAATTGAAATTTTGGCAACTGTAAAAAGTCACAAATAGAGAAGGAAGTCCCTCTGCTGTGCTGGAGGTAATTTTCTTTAATTACCTGTACATGAATGGCAAAATGATTTGAAAAATATCTAAGAACTTTTCTTGCATAGATCTTAGGGGTTGGAAATATCTCTTTTCTACAATTCAGCTTGATGAAAGTAATTATTCCTGAAACTTATTGGTGATTTTATCATGCGATGTCCACAGCATGTTGAGTCTTTCAAATGCAATTTCTATTGGTAAAAAAATGTTCCTATGTCAAGGTGTCAATAAATCAATTACAATACAATCTCAATAGCTTTTTGCAAGTTTGTAACCTTTTCCCATATATTTTTGCATGCAACATTTTAAGAATACACAATAATGTTTTTTTTAGAGAGAGGGAAGCCAGAATTTGTGAAGAAGCTGTCAGATGAGCTGAAAAAGTACCATGACATTCTCTGGTGTTGTGACTACATACCAAGCATGAAAGACATGAGGGGCAAAGTGGTGATCATCAGGAACTACAAAGGGGAGCCTTATTTTGGCCTCAGCAAGGACCTTTTCTGGGTGCAGAACATGTGGGACATTCCAACCCTCTGGCACTTGGACAAGAAAAAGGCTGCTTTCAAGAGGCTCTTTGATCTCTCTGGGTCTCTTGGATACCTCAGAGAGCCTGTCATCAATTATGCTTCTGCCACTGGCTGGGCTGCACATCCACACATGGTTAGTTGTTAAAAATGTTATACTATACCCATGGATTCTTGAAGATTTTTGCTGTGTGAGGAATGTGTTATCCAGGAAATACTTGGATTTATTTCCAAGACCTCTTTTTCAATTGCACCTTACTTCAAAGAAGCAAACAAGGTTTTCTCCCTGCAGCTGTTCTCCTTGTTTCAAAATCTCTCTTCCCACGTCACCCCAGGTTAAACAGCGTGACGCGCTTTTGTCCTCTTTGACAAATATAAAACTCCCCCACTTCTGACAGTGATGAATGTTATCTGTGCAGCCGCACCTCTGAAATACAAATTTCAGAGGTATATATTGTATACAACAGATTTGCATATGTATATTGTGTTGTGTATCATGTTTCTAATATTTTGCTTCATGAGGTCCGCGCATTCATGAATAATATATTAAATGCCTTTTGTTGATGACCTATATGCCTGAAAGGCATATATATTGCTGAGGAACAATATTTTCCTCAGATTTAATCCAGTGTTGACCGCAGTTACATATCAGAGAACCTCGAGTACGTTCAACAAGATTCTCTCAAGATATCTTTCTTTTTTATTGTTTTTAATATTGTTTGAACCTCGTTTGCTGTGAATACAATATTTTTATATATATTCCAACGTCTGTTTTACTTAACGGACAGCAAATGATACATATTCGTGGTTTGGGAAAATAATTTCTTGTGGAAAATTTTCAGAAGAAACAGCTATATTTTCCTCATTATGTGTTCATTTTATTATGTTGGAAATGAGAAACAGCTGTTTAGTGGAAGACTTCCAGCAAAGATGTCCCTGTCTTGAGATGTGCACTTTCTATTCTGAGATGCAAAAGTGGCACAAAAAAGTATTCCTGCAAAAAATGTGAACTGTAGTTTTCAGTGAATAATTTTCAAAATTCATGGTATTCAACAGTTGCAATTTTTTTATGTATATTCAAAAGAAAATTATGATTCAATTAGCCCCTCTCAAAAAATAATCTGCTATGTGATCCAAATATAATGTGGGCAAGCATTTTGGAAAAGTATGGTGCAACTTATGGAATGCCTATCAATGAAGCTAATCTTCTTTAAAAGATTACTCAGTAATTCTTGTAATGATGAAAACATATTCTGAGAATTCATGAAAAGCATCATAGATCCAATTGATTAAATGCTGGTTCTAATGTAAAAACATTCTTCAGTCATGAATGTTCAAAATATCATTTTAATAAACTATTTTGTATAACAAACTTTTTCTGAAGTCCCCAAAAGTGTGTTCTGAAAATTTACTTGTACTGCAGTCACAATGTTATTCAAAGGGGTGAATATAAGTAAATGTTGTGGTGAGAAAGCTTTTTTACAAGTCCCAATGGCTTTGTTGTGACAAGACTTCACTCTAATGAAAATGAAGTGTATTTGGGTGTTGCAGGTGGCTGCAAGGATGAACAAGTATGTCCTGGAGCTCATCAGTATGGAGTGCTCTCCCTGGAAAGTGGGCATAGTGCCAATGGACTTCCCAGGCTATGGAATCTTACACAGGATCATAGACTCAAACTTCTGCCAGGATTCAAAGACACCTGGCCCAAAGCACTATGGGGACTGCAGGTTAGTCCTCATCTGCAGCTTTTCCAAATACTTTATTTTTGTTTGTGTGGGAGGCCATAAATGGTACTGGGATTTTGCTGCAGGGCTCAGTGGAACATGGCCAGCTTTGGGTGCAAGGTCACCAGGGACAGGTGTGCACCAGGGCACAGTGTGCAAGTGAAGCACTTTTGGAAGCTCTGGAAGTGCATGTGCACTTGTCAAGACAATGCAGCCATGACAGACAGGGGATGTGGGACCATAAGGGAGAACTGGTGTGACTGAGCTACCAAATATATAAACAGTACTTTACTTGTGTATACTCTATATCAGTGTTCCCAACCTGTGGTTTGCTAACTGGCACCAATCTGTATATACAGTAGAAGTTTTTTTTGGCCAGTAAATGGGAAATTTTCTGCTGCTTAATAGATTTATCAAAAGTAGCAATGAAGTCTGTCATCTTCATCTGGAATTTTTGAATGACAATGGCAGTTGAAATTATTTGATGAAAAAATAAAACTTGAAATTTCTTGTATTAATAATGCCTCAGACAAATTTTCACCGGCTGAAATAAATTATTTTAATTTTTTCTCATTCTGAAAAACCTTTCTTCAAGCCCAGTTTTCTAATTATTCGAAAACATTCCTCAATTTATAGCTGCTTTAATTGGTTCTTGACTAAATTTTTTGCAAACAGTAGACACTTTTTAAATGCTGTACCTGCCATAAAGTTTTTCAAGGAACACTGTTTTGAGTCTGCAAACATTTTATGAAACTTTGCCAGTCTCCAGACATTTTGTGTGTGGAAATTTGCTGGTCTGCAGAAAACGTTTTGGAACTTTGCTGGTCCACAGGCCCGAAAAGGTTGGGAACACTGCTCTATATGAAAATACTGTACAACAACAGCAACCCTGACCTCAACCTGTTGTTTTCTGTACCACTAATACCCCCCCCCCTTGATTCTGGTGTATATGTGTATGAGAGGGGAGCCATGGAATGCTGGACTTGACACACACTTGTTTTTTATTTTAGGCTCAGTTTGACCTGGGTATACTCAGTATTTTTATGACTGTATCATTTTTTCTCTTATTTTTGATGCCTGGTTGTGCCATGTTTTTTTCCATTGTTATTGCATTTACAATCATGTTACTAAAATTATATTCAATTGACAAGAAACAATTTGTTGTAGGGAGAATTTTGTTGTAGAGAACTGCTTTAATATTGGGAGAGAATGTTGAGGGACCAAAAAATTCTTTATACAGAGAATATTATTGAAGTGAGATAGAGTCCACCTTTGTAATCAAGTTTACATCTTGGCAAGATTACCATAAAACTTGTGTTTCACAAACCTCGTTATAATGAATTGTCTGTATATAGTGGGATGAATCGATTTCTTTCAAAGCTTTCTGCATTTCTGCATTATTTTAGAGAATTTTCAAGTCAAATAGTGTGGAAACAAATGCTACAATTTGCCATTTTAAAAATTGGATGAAGAATGTATTTTGAATTCTGCTTGCATAATTTTTGGTCTATTAATTTGTGTTGTTTAAAAATAGAATTGTTTTGATTGGAATGGAAAAATACACTTTGGTTTGAAGGAAAGAATTTATAATTTTTTTTGAATTGTAATTTTCCCACTGTTTTGGATAATTTTCTGCTGCTACCTGCATTTCTATTACTGTGAAATATAGTGAAGTCTGGTTACAACAAAGCCGTTCTAACTGAGAACACTTGAAAAAAAAACTTTGTTTGATGAAAATTTCTGTAGAGAACCAGAAAAATAAGTTGTTTGTGAGCAAGAATTCCTTATAAGTTGAATTGAATGTAATCTTCTGATGAATTTCAGTTCAAAACTTGTCCATAAAATCTGCATTTAACGAATTTTAAAATTCTCGTTACAAAGAATCTCGTTTTAACGAATAACTGCTTATAACGAATTTGTTTGATTGTCCCTGTCCAAAAGTCAGAATATAATTTTAATTTAGTTTCAAAATTTTTCTTTTTTGATTTTAACGATGCTTTTCAATGCCTCCGATGCTTCGTTTTTAAAGAAATGTTACATTCTCGTTACAACGAACGTCGTGATAACTAATAATTGATTACAACCAAGTTGTTTTTCAGCAGGTGCCTGTCAAATGTTGAAAGAGTTACTTCATAAAAACTTTTTTTTTCTCTACAACAAAGCTAATTCACTGGGTCCCATGGATTCGTTGTACCGAGATTTTACTTGAAAAAATCTCTTTACAACTAGTTTATTGAGTCTCGTTATAAACAGTCTCGCAACGAATTATAATACTGTTAAAGCCTCGTTATAACGAATTTTATCGAGTTTCGTTACAACGAATTAAACAAGACTCTTTATAAATAATTAAAACGAGTCTGTTTACAAAGAACTAGAACGAGTCTCATTACACCGAATTGAAGAGAGTGTCGTTATAACGAATTAAAACGATTATCTTTATAACGAATTGAAACGATTCTCTTTTATAACGAATTAAAATGAGTCTCTTTACAACGAATTGAAACGAGTCTCTTTTATAACGAATTAAAATGAGTCTCTTTATAACGAATTAAAACGATTCACTTTATAACGAATTAAAACGATTCACTTTATATCGAATTAAAACGAGTCTCGTTATAACGAACTAAAACGAGTCTCGTTACAACGAATTGAAACAAGTCTCGTTATACTGAATTAAAATGATTCTCTTTATAACGAATTAAAACGAGTCTCTTTGAAAACGAATTAAAATGAGTCTCTTTATAACGAATTAAAACAAGTCTCGTTATAATAAATTAAAATGATTCTCTTTATAACGAATTAAAACGAGTCTCTTTGATAACGAATTAAAATGAGTCTCTTATTATAACAAATTAAAACAAATTTCGTTAAAATGAATTAAAACGATTCTCTTCATAACGAATTAAAAGGAGTATCTTTTATAACGAATTAAAATGTGTCTCTTTATAACGAATTAAAACAAGTCTCGTTATAATGAATTAAAACGATTCTCTCATGAGCGAATTAAAACGAGTCTCGGTATAACGAATCGAAACAAGTTTCGTTAAAATGAATAAAAACTATTCTCTTCATAACGAATTAAAGCGAGTATCTTTTATAACGAATGAAAATGAGTCTCGTTATAACGAATGAAAACAATTTTGTTTCTAACGAATTGAAACGGATCTCGTATTATAATGAATTGAAATAATTTTCTTTTTTCAACGAATTAAAACGAATTTCGCTATAATGAAACAAAACGAGTCTCGATATAACAAGGATTTAAAACGATTCTTGTTACAGTAAAAATTCGTTGCAGTACGAATTTATTCTCCCCCTTTTCGTCCAATATAATGGCCATAATGTTATTTGTATTTCGTTCAAACGCATTTTCGTTTATAACGAAGCATTTTTCCAGGACCAAACAGAATCTTCGTAACGTATATTAACGACATTTTACCCCAGTAACGAAAAAAAAATAGATAAAGAAAATACCCGATTTTTTGAAAGGATTCTCTTCATTATTTTTTTTTTGTTCGTGTCGTGGCGAATTTTTTTTTTTTTTTTTTACAAAAAAGTGTGTGTCTGTGTGTCCCGGAAAAACGCAGTGGTTTATTTTTGACCTGCGCTGTAGGGGGTATATAAAACGCCAAGCCCCGCCCAGTGTTGCCACTCACTCACTCACACTCCCACGCATGCCTTGTTGCGAGTCTTGGGGATATAAGAGGAGGGGGGGGGGGTTGAACTGGGTCACATGAGAGAGGGGGGTTTCTTTTCCCCCCACTCACACACACAGACACAGACACAGCACACCCTTGTGCTGCACTTGCAACCCAGGGGTTCACATGAACTGGGTTTGTGCTGCTGCTGCTGCTGGGCATTGTTTTATGTATTGATACTTTTCCTGTGTGGAAATATATACTGTACAGTGATAGATGACCCCTGGATGTGGATGTGATTGGTGCATCAAGATTCAAGAGTGTCTTTAAGTTGAAATGTCCCCCAATAAGTGGAGTCTCATTATTGTTTTCCCATATATATGGACGCACATTATATAATTTTTAAATGGAGGACTTTATATGGGAGAAATATATTCTTCATAATTCCATGAAAAAAAAACATTGTTTGCTGCTTGAATGTGATTGATTTGAGGAGGAGAAGCAGCTCAATAAGTTGTAGAATTATTGATCATCCAAGTTCTTTGCTCTTTCATGGATAACAAAGCTAAATAAAATTGCAATGCATTTTTTATGAACACAGATTAAAAAAAAAAAATAAATTGAGACCCCAGATGTGGACATAAGTTGGTGCATCAAGAGTGTCTCTAAGTTGAAATTTCCCAAGTTGATTGTCATTGTTTTCCCATAGACTTACATTACAATGGCCCCCTGCCTAACAGACCTCACGTGTAAGGGATTTTTGCCAAACAGCTCTGCAAGCAGTTTTTCCTCTCGCCCAACAGACAAAATCCACCAAACAGACTTCTTTTGGTTTAAAATTAGTGTTGAAAATTGAAATTTTTAATTTTTTATGTAATTGAATTCGTGTAAATGACTTTTTGTCTAACAGACTTGTCCCTTGCACAAATCAAGTCCATTAGACGGGGGTTGACTGTACTGTATATACTTTTAAATGGTGGTTCATGGAAGATATATTCTTCAGAATTCCATGAAAAAAACATTGTTTGCTGCTTGAATGTGATTGATTTGAGGAGGAGAAGCAGCTCAATAAGTTGTAGAATTATTGATGATCCAAATTCTTTGTTCTTTCATGGATAACAAAGCTAAATAAAATTGCAATTCATTTTTTTATGAACACAGATTTTTAAAAAATACAGTGAGACCCCCAGATGTGGACATGTAGTTGGTGCATCAAGAGTGTCTCTAAGTTGAATTGTCCCTAAGTTGAGTCTCATTGTTTTCCCATATGGACTTACATTATATAATTTTTAAATGGTGGACTTTATGGGAGAAATATTCTTCAGAATTCCATGAAAGAAAAGTTTGCTGCTTGAATTTGAATCAGTGAATATATTTTCAACTTGATAAGAGCATTTGGAGCATTGTATAGTGTACCTCTGTACAGCAGTACATTGAAATGTTGGCATGTGTAAAAATAGCATTTGAGTCACAATGGAAGAAGGACAAAGTCCCACTCTATTATGCTATATATATAATTTTTTGAATTAGCAGAATGGGTGGGAAAGTGATGGGAGAAATATCAAAGAATTTCCTTGTTTAATAGATCTTATGGTTTGAAATATATGTTTCTTGAAATTAAGCCCAATAAAAGTCAATTTTCCTGAAATTTATTGGCAATTTTATCATGCAATTTTGTGCAGGGGTGCATGTTAATTGAGTGAATACAATAATTTGAGTGCGAAAATAATTTTTCTGTGTGGAATAACTGGTTATACTGTGAGAAAGATGCATGAAATGGTTGATTTGATTTAGGCAGTTATGAATAGGAAAATACTTCCTTATTTTGCTCCTCAGCAGTATGTGTCCAAATTTATTTTGCTTGCATTTCAGGTGACATATTGTAGCTTATTATTTGTGGGTATCATCATCCACTTGATTGGGATGATTGGCTTGGCAAGAGGCAATGAACCACTATTGGTGGGAACTGTAGCTTTGGCACTGGGACTGACCATCATAGGCAGAGATGGAGCCCTGAGGACACCATTCCTGGTGACAGACAGAGGCTTCTACTACCCCTGCTTGGTGTTTGCCAACTACCTGTTCCTGAATGCTGTGATGAATGGCAAGATGCCATTTGAGCTCCCTGGAGGCATTGGCAGGAGGAGGCATCATGATGATGATGATTACTATTAACCTTGTTACAGTGATTTATCTGAAGGTCTCTTGATTTAATCTTGTGTATGTGTGGATTGTACCTGTGAAGGTTTTTGTCCCCCCTTTACTCTTGGTCCAAAATTTTTGGTACTTCTTTTTTTCATTTTGTCCCATGGGCAAATATGAGACTGGGGTTTCCAAAGCTAAGTGGTG